TAGCTGTACAAAATGGCCACACGAATACGCCTCTCTGAAGGCAGTTATACAAAATGGCCACCTAATAGGCCTCTCCCAAGGCAGCTATACAAAATGGCCACCTGAATAGGCCTCTCCAAAAGCAGCAATAATAATAATAATAATCATCATCATCATCATCATATAAGCATTATTTATATTCCCCAAAAGGACTCAAGGCAGCGCATACAAAATGGCCACCCATAGAGGCCTCTCCGAAAGCAACTATAACATAATAATAATATACTTTATCTCCCCGAGGGGACTCTGGTTGAATTACACAACACATATATGGCAAACATTCAATGCCTTTATACAATTAACAAGGACAGACAATACATAAACAGAGGTATATAGACTTTCCCATTCTTTTCCCATTTCTGGCATCTGGAAGCTGTGCTCGACTCTGGCCATGGGGTGGTGCTGTTGCTCCATTTTCCATGACGTGGAGTTTTTTGTTGTTCGTAAACGTCCTCCCGATCAAGTCGCCAGCATGTTCTTATGGGCATCATTTATTTATTTATTTAAAACTTTAATATCCCGATCTTCTCTACCTCCGTAGAGGGACTCAGACCGGCTCAGATCTTTTATTACCTCCCTGCTATTTATCTACTCACCATTTCTGTTTTTTATTTGCCAGGTGGGCAGGGAGTTGGGCTGACAGTGGAAGTTCACCCTGACTCAGGCTTGAACTGCCAATCTTTCGATCGGCAGGATTTTCCACAGTTGGCAGTTTAACTCTCTCTGCTAAAGCCCAGCCATACAAAATGGCCACCTGAATAGGCCTCTCTGGTGTGGCAACTACACAAAATGGCCTCGCTGAAGGCAGCTATACAAAATGGCCACCCGAATAAGCCTCTCCAAAGGCAGCATCTCCCCAAAATGGCCTCCCTGGTGGTACTGGTTGTTGTTATTGTGCTTACCTCTGTTTCTTGCTAGGGGAGTTGCCGCTGTCGCTGGCGGCCTGCACAAACCAGCCAGAGATTGTGTGCTACCTGACAGAGAACAGGCACAAGGCGGCTGACCTACGGCGCCAGGATTCACGGGGCCACACCGCCCTGCATGCCCTGGTAGCCGTGGCCGACAACACACGTCCCAACACGCGCTTTGTTACACGCATGTACGATCGCCTCCTGGCCAAGTCTGCCCCCCTCTGCCCACAGCAGGGCGGCCTCGAGGCAGTCCTCAACAACGAGGGCCTCTCCCCGCTAATGATGGCTGCCAAGACCGGAAAAATCGGGGTAAGAAGGACAGCCATTTTGGGGAGCTTCTCTCTCAGAGGGGCCTCTCTGAAAGCAGCAGCTGCACAAAATGGCCACCTTCCTGCTTATTCCTTCACAATGCAGATCTTCCAGCACATCATCCGTCGGGAGATCCAGGAGGAAGGGGCGCGGCACCTCTCCAGGAAGTTCAAGGACTGGGCGTACGGTCCTGTCTACTCATCGCTCTATGACCTCTCCTCCATCGACACCTGCGGGGAGGAAGTCTCTGTCCTTGAGATCCTCGTCTACAACAGCAATGTTGAGGTACACCTCTCTAGAGATCCTCCCAGCACAAACTCTATGGTTATGAACATGGAAGATCTAGAAAATTCCTAGAGAGGTATACTTATCTAGGTATTCTCTTAACGGTAGGCTGTCTAGGAATTTATAATAGATGCAACTCTATAGAAACTTGCCAGCAAAATTTTATGGTTACTTCCGGCACAAAAATAGCATAGAGTTGCCTGGGGGACCTAGGAAATTCTTACCTAGGAAGTTATGATAAATTCTCTAGGAATTTATCACTGTGACTCTATGGAAGAAAGTGAGCCATATAGTGTTTGCATGGAAGTTACTGGACAACTTAGAGAATTCCTATAGAAATGTCTTTTCTAGGGATATTTTCACCCGCCGGCACTGATTACTATAGGTTTCTATAGAACCTAGAAAATTCTTAGAAATAACACATCTGTGGAAATTTGCCAGTGCAAAGACTCATACTATAGAGTCACCATACAAAATTCATATAAATTAAAACTCTCTAGGAATTTGAAACTGCTACTCTGTGGTGGCTTCTAAGAAAAGCATACCATAGAGTCAGCTGTAGGACATAGAAGATGCCTACCACTCTAGGAATTCAACAGTGGGACTCTATGGTCATGGGAATATACCATAGATTTGCCTGAAGGCCCTAGAAACTTCCTAGATGGGTTTCCTCTCTAGGAGTTTGCCACTATATCTCTTTGGAAGAAAGAATGAAGAACCCAAACAATTCTTAGTGGGACCTGGAAAGTTCCTAAAGGGGAGCAATTTGGATTCATGACTTCCTGATGGTGGAAGAATACCATAGAGTTCTTTGGAGGACCCATATAATTCCTAGAAGGGACCGATTTGACCACTCGATTCTTTGCTAGGGTAGTGGAAGCATACCATAGAGTTGCATGGAGGACCCATATAATTCCTAGAGGGGACTGATTTGGCTACTCTATGATAGTAGAAGCGTACCATAGAGTTGCCTGGAGAACCCAGAAAATTTTCTAGAGTGGGCCTATTTTGTCCAATTTGGCTAAGATGGTGGCAAACCCCATGGAAAGGGGGTGTTTCCTGTTGGGGAATACAATAGAGTGCACTGTCGCTCCTGTCCAGAACCGTCATGAGATGCTGGCGGTGGAGCCCATCAACGAGCTCCTGCGGGACAAGTGGCGCAAGTTTGGGGCAGCTTCCTTCTATATCAGCGTCGTCTCCTATCTCAGCGCCATGGTCATTTTTACCCTCATCTCCTACTACCGCCCCATGGAGGGAACCGTAAGTTATCACCTTATTTATTAGTATTATTATTATTAATTAAATGCATAATAATTTTTCCCTGTTTTAAATTTATTCTTTCAAAAATATTTAATTATTTAGTTCAATTATTCAATTATTTAAATTTAATGATTTGATTTAGTTTATGAAATTTAATTATTTAATTATTTAAATTCACTTACTTTAGATTATTTAAAATGTATTGCAGAGTACTGTTATTAACTAAATATTTTAATTTCATTACTCAATTACTTGAATTTAATTTTTCTTTTCATTGAAATTTTATCATTTCATCTAACGACTGTAATTTCATTCCTTGAATTTAATTATTTAATTAAGCGATTTAATGGAATTGTTTAAAATTAATTATTTAATAGAATTACTTGTATTTAATTATTTAATTGTGTGATTATTTAATTGTTGACATTTAATTATTATTTAAATTTATTTGTTATTTAAAGTCAGTTGTTTAAATTTAATTATTTAATTTAATTATTTACACTATTTTTTAAAAAATAATTTGGACTAAAATCCATAATGGATACGCCATTTTTCTAGCTTGTGTCCAGACCTTCCTAGACGGGACCATGTGTTTTCCACCCAGAATGTATCTTATTCTGGATGGAAAAGTTACTTTATTGTTATTGTTGTTATTGGACTCCTCCTTCCCCAACAGCCTCCGTATCCTTATGTCACCACCACGGATTACCTTCGTTTGGCTGGAGAAATCGTGACCCTTTTCACTGGTGTCCTCTTCTTCTTCACAAACGTGAGTGGACAAAGGGGACCTATAAGGACAAGTAGAATAGGATCCTAAGGGTAATCTAGACCAACTAGAGTTAGAAGGGGACCCCCAAGGGTCTATCGGAACCTGAAAGTAGGCCTCTCTTAGGTCCATCACTCTAACTCTATCTATCTATCTATCTATCTATCTATCTATCTATCTATCTTTGTATCTATCTATCCATCCATCCATCTTTGTATCTATCTGTCTTTCTGTCTGTGTGTCTATCGGGACCTGAAGGTAAGTCTTTCTTAGGTCCATCACTCTATTATGTATTATGTATTATCTATCTATCTATCTATCTATCTATCTATCTATCTATCTATCTAGGTCTAAATGGCCTGTCTAGATGGATAGATAGATAGATAGATAGATAGATAGATATAGATGGAGTGATAGATAGACAGATAGACAGACAGACAGATCAATCTATCTCCATTGGCTGTATTACATTTTAATAACAATTTTAAATGAATGTTAAGTGTTGTTTCTATGATTTATGTTTAATGTCTATTATATGAGATGTACATTAATTGATTGATTTATGTTTCTATTTATATATTGAATCTGGAATGGAATGTTTGCCATCTTTTGTTGTAATCCACCCTGAGTCCCCTTGGGGAGAGAAGGCAGAATATAAATAAAGTTGTTTGTTTGTTTGTTTGTTTACTTATTTATTTATTATCGATAGACAGATGATAGAGTTATGGACCTAAGATAAGCCTACCTTAAGGTCCCAATAGAGACATAGATAGATGAATTATCAATTCATAGACAGAGAGATGGATGAAGAGATCAATAGACAGACAGATGAAGAGATAGATAGATAACTGCCCTGAGTCCCCTTGGGGAGAGAGGGCAAGTTAAAAATAAAGATTATTATTATTGTATTGTCGAAGGCTTTCATGGCTGGAATCACTAGGTTCTTGTGGTTTTTTTTAGGCTATATGGCCATGTTCTAGAGGCATTTTCTCCTGACGTTTCGCCTGCATCTATGGCAAGCATCCTCAGAGGTAGTGAGGTCTGTTGGAATTAGGAATATGGGTTTATATATCTGTGGAACAACTGGGGTGGGGCAAAGAGCTCTTCTCTGCTGGAGCTGGGTGTGAATGTTTCAACTGACCACCTTCATTAGCATTTGAAGGCCTGGCTGAGCCTGGGGGAATCTTTTGTTGAGAGGTGTTAAGATGTGCCTGGTTGTTTCCTCTCTGCTGTTTTGCTGTTGCAATGTTAGAGTTTTTTAATACTGGTAGCCAGATCTTGTACATTTTCATGGTTTCCTCCTTTCTGTTGAAATTGTCCACATGCTTGTGGATTTCAATGGCTTCTCTGTGTAGTCTGACATGGTGGTTGTTGGTGTGGTCCAGCATTTCTGTGTTCTCAAATAATATGCTGTGTCCAGACTGGTTCATCAGGTGCTCTGCTATGGCTGATTTCTCTGGCTGAAATAGTCTGCAGTGCCTCACATGTTCCTTGATGCGTGTTTGGGCAATGCTGCGTTTGGTGGTCCCTATGTAGAC